CTAATCTCATAGGTTGGCAACTTCTGAAGTGTAAATAATTTTTAAAATAATTTTTTTAAGTCCGGATGTATTTCTAATCTCATAGGTTGGCAACTTCTGAAGTGTAAATAATTTTTAAAATAATTTTTTTAAGTCCGGATGTATTTCTAATCTCATAGGTTGGCAACTTCTGAAGTGTAAATAATTTTTAAAATAATTTTTTTAAGTCCGGATGTATTTCTAATCTCATAGGTTGGCAACTTCTTAAATATAAATAATTTTTAAATAATTTTTTGGAATCATTCGATATAATCTCTTGAAATAAAAAAAATAAAAATAAAACACCCATGGTTGATTTATTTTCCTTACTTTTTTTGTGAATCAAATTTGTTTATTGATAGAGATAAAAGTTGTTGCAGATGATTCATGACTAACAAAAATGTACAAAACAATGTTTGTCTTCACATATATGTTTGCAGGGTGAATATGAAAAGCTTAGCCAAAAAATTGAAGATGCTTCCAGAAGGTCCCAGCCTTGTGAACTCACGGGCGACTTTGCTGATTTCTCAAATATACAACGCAACAACCACCCCACTATAATCAAGGTATTTCATCACTCCAATATTAGTACATTATAAATGAAAGGTAAATTACATATAATTAGTCCTATAGTTTAACTGAAATATCACTTTAGTTTTTATAGCTTTAATTTAGATAATTTGATTCTTATACTTTTAAGTTTGTTACAATATGATCTTTTCGTCACTTACTGTTAGAATTTGAAATGGAAAAAATCTATATGTAAAATTAGAGTAATCAAAGTGAAATTCAAACTAAACTATAAGGATGCTAGTAAAATATATTTATTACATTGGTGATCCTTACAATTTGTTTTAAATTCGATTTTGGTTCATTTAGTTTTGCACGTGATTTTTTTTTTTTCAAAATCTTAACAACGCATAACAGAGAGATTATATTGCAACAAAATTGAAAGTGTAAAGACTAAATTATTCAAAATGAAATTACAAGGGTCAAAGTGAAATTTTATTCAAACTAGGGGGACCAATGATATAATTTATCATAAAATAAATTTGAATTACACATGAATATTTGGACAAATTATGACAGTAATTCACGTACTTTGATCCATGTAATTTCAATTGATTCGATGTTGATCTTGAATTTATGCTTTTATTTCAATTTGGTTGAATTAATTGCAACTGTTAATATTTTTATATGGAAAATATACACTTAAGTGACATGCCTTATATTTTTAAGAGCAAAAATATAATTTACTCAATTCAGTGAGTTGACTTCAGCCAATTCAATGATCATTTTATGTCAAAAACACTAATGACATTATCAATTGTACCAAATTAACGAAAAATTTAAAATTAAAGGTCAAAATTTAACCAATTAAAAGTATAGAAACTAAAATAATATAAGAAACACCAATATAATTTTTCTTTAATATTTTGGTGTAAAATTTTAAATAAAAATTCTAAATGTATAGTATTAATTTCAAGGTTATATGGGAGAACAAGGAAGGAGTATCGAATGGAGTGCCCCATGTTATCTACATATCCAGAGAGAAGCGTCCAAAGCAACCACACCATTTCAAGGCTGGCGCTATGAATACTCTGGTATAAGAAGTTTCTCGCGACAACAGTGTTCTAAAAATTATGCAGTGTGTTTGCTTTAATTTTTTGAATTTAATTTTTAAAAAATTGAATTTTTTATTTTTTTTATTTTTAGTGAATATTTTTAAAATTTTAAGTAATTCTTTTATTTTTTTAATGCACTTTACTTAAATATATCTAAAAATTAAAATATTTGTAAAAAAATATTTTAAAAAATCAATAAATACATAAGAATACGAAAAATGTTCAAAATTTTTATATTTTTGGTTTCTAGTGAATTTTTTAAAGATTTTTTTTATAAATATTATTTTTTTTAGTGTATTTATGTTAAATATATCTAAAAATTAAAAAAATTACTTAAAATATTAAAAAAATTAATAAAAACAAAAAAAAACAAAAAACAAAAACTTAATTTTTTTTTTTAAAAAAAGTGAATCCAAATTTGGAAACCAAATAAGCTAATGGGAACTTGCAAAACCACTCACTTGAATGATCAATCCATCTTTTTTTTCTTATAAAAATAATTTATTCATACAATTTCATCTCCCAGTCCCCTTGAATGACATGATAATTTTAAAATTGTACTTGCAAGTACAATTTTAAAATTTGGCTCATTCACTAACACATAATAACTGATATAGAACTTGCCAAGAAGTTTGGAGAGAGAAAATTATATGAATATAACATCCTTATTTTTCTTAAACATAAATATGATTAAATTATAATTTTTATGATCAATAATTTATACACAGACACCTAATAATTTGCCCATGAACCAAAGCATCTTTCATCCCTGGCAAAACGACCAATCAGTATGAGATTAGAAAAATATTAACCAAAAGGTGAGAATCCTTTTAGAGTACAAATTTTACTGGGAAATTACCCCTCAATGGTAATTTGAAAAAATTATTACAAATATATGAAATTTTTATAATTTTAATTATTAATATTGATAAATTTTACTATTAATTTGTAATTATTTTTTAAGTCTTACCCTGATTTAAAATTCAACCAATATTTACTGCTTTTATAAATATTTTCAGTTAAATAGTCTGATCGGAATTTTCTCTTCATTCTTTAAGCATAGGGCAAATATTTACCAAATGTGAGAATCATTGTGGGGTGCAACTTTTACATACAAAAAGAGTTGCCCTCCATATATTTGTAATTATTTTTATCAAATTGGTCAATCAATTATTTCTTCTTAAACATATCCCTCTCCCTATATATATTGTTATTTTTGCAAATAATTGTACAATGATATGAACAGACAAGAGTATCAGGAATGATAACAAATGCACCATTCATGCTGAACTTGGACTGTGATATGTACGTTAATAATCCTCAAATAGTGGTTCATGCAATGAGTTTACTGTTGGGAGTTACCAATGAAAGGGACTATGCATTTGTTCAATCTCCTCAAATCTTCTATGATGGATTAAAGGACGATCCTTTTGGCAATCAATTGGTGGTTTTGTACGAAGTAAGTCAATTGTGAATACAATTTTTTAGCCTTATACATGCATAATTTATTATTTTTTCCTTTTTAAAGTATATTACTTAGAGATAAAATGCTTTTTATTGTAAAAGTGTTATTATTGTATTTTTAGCGACGAATATGAATATTAATGATGAATTACTATTCTTTTGGAACTAAAATTAAAAAATATCCTTTTTTTGGACAAAATTATTTTGCCCCTAAAAGTGTTTTTATTAGTGACATTTTCAAAAAATTGTTGCTAAAAGTCTATTTTTAAAAAAATAAACTTTTGGGAATGACTTTTTAATGACTTTTACTTTTAAGAAGAAAAAAGTTTGATTCCTAAAATTGTTATTTGTTGTAAAAGAGACTATCATGTCAAAAAAAACTTTAGGTTTTGATCTTCTAGTGAGGTGTATGTTTCTAGCCAATTCGGCTAGTTGCAATTGGTTAAATTTGTACAATCTTGCTCGGCATTGTTTTTTGTTTTTAGTTTTGAAAAAATAAAAGCAATATAAAATCTTGAAAACACCTAAGTATTTTTTTATATATTTTTTGTGCAAAAGTTATTCTGGAAAACAATTTTTCTCGTTGTTTTTCTTAAACATCGGTTGAATTTAGAAAAAGAAAATAATAATTCAAAAATAGTTTGTCAAACAAGCTTTTTTCGTATTTTTTTAAAAAATAAAAAATAAAGCAAAAAATGAAGATATACCAAATAGGCCCTAATTAACAATAATAGCTAGAACTCGTACTGAATGACTACTAACAATTCACATTTTGTTAAAAACAGTATTTGGGACATGGATTAGTAGGGATTCAAGGACCCTTCTATGGAGGAACTGGATGTTTTCATAGGCGTAAAGTAATCTATGGTTTATCTCCTGATGACAATGAAGTTACTAGTAAGTCTCCTAACTTTTTGTTATTTATAATAAATTGCAACACATTCTACTATTTTTCTTCTTTTTTATGTGCCTACTTCGCAAATAAATTTGATTTCTTATTATTAGGAAAATTAAGCAATGAGGCTTTGCTCAAGACTTTTGGAAGATCAATGGAATTCACCAAATCAGCTGCTAAGATATTGTCGGGCATGAAGACAAGTAGTATTGGTCCTAACAATATTTCAAGTTGCACGGAGACAGCCTACCAAGTTGCTGGTTGTGACTACGAGTATGGTAGCAGCTGGGGTAGAGAGGTTAGTACTATCATTTCATCTTTTTTTTCCATAAATACAAAGTACAAGAAATCATAGACTCGACAATTCAATTTAGCTGGTAGATTTTAGTGTGCAAATCAATTAGGAAAAAATCATATTGATTTGATAATCGTAGTTATATAATTATATCATATTTATTTAAAATAATATATATTTAGTTCTTTTTTTTTAATAAATAAACTACACAATAAATTCTTAAAAAGAAAAACAAAATACATCATTGATGTGGGGGCACGTGAAGAATCTCACTGATTGAACTAGATGGTTCAATTAGTGGAGTGGAGAGAAAACAGTATTCAAAATAAAAATGTCACAAGTTATAAGTTTACATATATCATTAAGGTCTCGTTTGTAAACATATTTTTTTAATAATTTTTTGACTTTTTGATTAAAATGTGATGTAAAAAAAATTTGTATGTTTGTTATGACTTTTTAACTTTTTACGAAAATATGTGTAAAAAGTAGAGATAAAATAGAATATTTAACTTTTTGACATGGGTTGTTGGCTTTTTGATTTTTTTAATAACTTTTTAGCTAAAAAGGATACTTGCCAAACGAGGCCTAAGTTTGCCTAAATAGAAATATGTACAAGTTAAACATATATTTAGGTTTCGTTTGGAAAGAAAAAGTTAAGAATTTTTTTTAACTATTTTAGTCACAAAAAATAAAATAGACTTTTTAGTTTAATAAGAAAAAATATTACATCCAATCTATAATTATTACATCCTTTCTTTTACAAAAAAGTCAAAAAAACCTAAAGTCCTTCTCAAATCAGGCTTTTTAATCCCAAATTAAAATAATCAAAAAAAAAACTAAAAAACTAAATAATCAACCCACTTTTTAAAAGAACTCTATTAAAATCTAATTTGAGTCATATATAAAAGGTAGATAAGATGCATTGTTATGTTCTCTATTATATCATCGAACGGTTATAAAAAATCACCTTAATAAATATAATGACTCTTTTTTTAATTTAAAATGATGTTAATTTTTTATTTTAATTTTATAATCATTAAATATGAGAGAGAATCTTCTATATGATTGCAATGGTCCTATTCAAGATTATTTTGTCTGAGTGGGTCCCTTTAACATAGTTTATATCAAAGCCAACCAAATATGACCTTAATTTTGGAAGTGTCCAACTGGCCACGACACTAGTTAAAAATGATTTTCGGTGAATATTTTGTCATAACTTGTTGAATGACAATTTATTTGGAAACTTTGAAAAATATTAAAGCAAAACAACAAAATACATGCAGCATCAAACAATCGCCCAGAGTCTGTTGCAGGGCCGGCCCTGAGGTCGTCGGACCTAAGGTGAATTTAAAAAATGGGAATTTTTTTATATTGAAAAAAAATTTATGAATAAAATGATAAGTTACAATTTTTTTATTTGTTTGTAACCATAAAAAAATTTACTTACACATATAATAAAAAAAAAAAGAGAAGAAGAAGAAGAAGAAGAAGAAGAAGAAGAAGTTATCAAAATTAGGAAAAATTTATTCAATTAAAATGTATTGGATATGTATTGAATTAATTGTTGTTTATTGAATATGTTGTTTATGAGTGTGGTTGTATTGTTGTTTATTGAATATGTTGTGTATGAGTGTGATTGAGATTGAGTTAATTGTTTATTCCACTAAAATTTGATAAATAAAGAAGGTAAAAAAAAAAAAAAAATAGGGCCCATATATTGTATGTATTATTTTTCTTGAGCCCAAACACTTTTTTTTAATATATATTTTCATTTTAATAAATATGGACCAAACTACACTTATAAATAAATATGGAGTAAATCATACATAGATCTAAAAAAATATGTTGGGGCCCTTTAAATTGATCCTAAAACCCAAAAAAAAAAAACATTGAGCCTCCAAATTTAGGGGCCTTATTTTTGGGCCAAATTTAGGGACCCTATGTTATATATGTTTATATGTTTTACCAAATTTAGGGGCCCTATTTTTGGACCAAATTTAGGGGCCCTATGTTATATATGCTTATATGTTTTACCAAATTTAGGTGCCCTATTATTTTTTATTTATTTATTTATATATTTTCATTTTAATAAATATGGGCCAAACACATTTATAAATAAATATGGGCTAAATTATACATGGGCCCAATAAAACATTTGGGGCCCTTTAAATTGATCTTAAAACCAAAAAAAAAAAAAAAAGTTGAACCTATAACAATTTTTTAAATTTGGGGCCCTATTTTTAGGCCAAAATATGGGGCCTAAGGCACAAGTCTTACCTGCCTTAGAGCAGGGCCGGCCCTGGTCTGTTGGTAATCATTTCATTTTTAATTTTTAGTTTATATTTATAAAATTTTTAAAAATTATCATAAAAACTTGTTTTATAATTTTTTTAATTTATAAATGGTTGTTTCAGTTTACAAATTTAAGAAAAAAACGTAAACTCAATTTTTTTCAATTATTTTTTTTTCAATTAATTTTTTTTTTTCAATTATAATGTGTATGATTCCATTATCATAAATAATAAAAAATAAATATAAATATTTTAGACCTGAACAAACATATTTTTTAGTTTATATTTTTGAATTTTTTTAAACATTTTGTTTAAACTAAACACGTTTGTAATTTATATTTTTCTAAAGATAGACAAACATTTTTTTTTTGAACTAGTCACTTCAAGTTTTACAGTAAGATCACTTTATTATTGGTAAAATATTTTATTCCTTTTATTTTTGAATTCATAAATTTTAACTCTTACAGTTAATTTTTTTTTTTTATCTCCTACAAATCGCCTCCAAATCTCTTCTAAAATAGGCATATTTGTACAATTTTCATAAATAAGAGGGTCAATATATACAAATTTATAAATGAAGAGAGTAAAATGATATTTGTTAATAGCTAAAGAAGTCATAATATATAATTAACCCTTTTTTTTATTATTAAAAAATCAACTTCACATTAGATAAAGAGTACCCAAATCAACCCCTTCATCTTGTATGAGGCATAATATTCGCCCAAAGCTTAAATTTTTACCTAACAAAATGAGAATATTTTGTAGTTTTCGACCTAGCGGAACATGTCATTTGCTATTCCAATAACATACTTTGAATAACATGGTCATGTGTTTTAGGACCGTATTAATTGGATATACAACCATGTGATAAGTCATACTTATCAAATAATTATGTTATTTGCATATATTTTCTATAATCGGTCTATTCTAACACCATGTTAAGTCGTCGACCATCAATTCATTCAAAAATTTAAACTGTCAAAGAAAATGTGACAATTCCCTCAATATATGGAGCAAGAACTAGCAAGATAATTCATCTTAAATCCTCCTAACAATTTGTTGTCACAAAAGAAATGACACAAAAGGAGTGCCACAATCCTGCGCCAGGTGTGATCAATCCAACTTAGCCCATATTATAATGGTTTTTTGGTATTGTTTTCAATTTTTTTTTTTGGTTATTATTCTTTGAAAAAAAAAACTAAATAATTTGAATTTTTTTTTCCAAAATTTGTATTTAGATTTTTTTTTTAATTTAGAAAACAACCCATTTTTTAGGAAACAAGATAAGGTTACTTTTGAATTTCTAAAAACTATTTTCAAACAAAAATAAAAACAATATGAAAATAATGGGTATTTTCAAGATTTTTATTTTTATTTTTTATATGTTTTTGAAACATAAAAAATAAAAACAAAGGAAACGAAAATACACTCAACATAGTCTCAAAAATAAATGCATTCCTCACCCTCAATACACGTAATATCCTTCGGGGCCGAGTTTGGGCTGGCCTATACAAGGCAGCCCAACTCTCTACACATTTTACATAGGATTGAGATTCTCTCAAGTCAAAATGTTAACTTAATTATCATGTAAGAGTTTATAACTCTCGCTGTGAGTCTCATTTTAATAATTTAAACTGTTTAATTTGTAGAGATTTTCATGTATATCATTCATAAAAAAATTACATTTTATACGATAATCGTAAATTTTTTATTTTATCGCATTTGTCTTAAAAAAAACAAACGACAAATATATTTTTAAAAATATACCATCAATTTTTAATTTTTTAATTTTTTTTTAAAGAATTGATATACAGAAAAGGCTGTACAAAATAAACAGCTTAGGTTATCAAAAACAAGACCAATAATGGGTCTTATGGCCCTTAACATGACTGTCAAGTTCATATTTTAAATTTAAGAAAATCTCCATCCCTTATATCACCTTGACACAAAAAGTACCATGCTCTTAAAACATAGATTCATGAAGGTCGGACTGATCTTAAGTTCAAAATGAACTTGACGTAACTTGAATTGAAGGGCCTATGAGGCCCACAATGGTTCATGTTTAGAACATTCGTACCATTTATTTTGTTGATCACTCAGTGTATATTATTCATGAAAATTTTTAGAATGATTCGATAATTGTAACCTTGTCACCCCAAAAATAGACGACATTTATATATTTTTAAATAGACCTTCTATTTTTTTTGGAAACAAACACAATAAAATGAAAATACTATAATTATCGAATAAAACTTAATTTATTTTATAGATGATATACACATAAGGTTTTACAAAATGAACTATTCAGATCATCAAGACAGAACTCGTGATGAGCATTCTCTCAAGTTCAAATTTGAAATTGAATCCCAACACATTTATCAAATAGAATCATTTTTGCTTTGGTTACTAATAATAATGGCTACTATTGTCCAGGTTGGCTGGATGTATGGATCTACAACAGAAGATGTCCTTACTGGACTTACCATTCATGGGAGGGGCTGGAAATCTACCTTTTGTTCACCTAACCCACCTGCATTTCTTGGGTGTGCACCCCCAGGTGGACCTGCAACTATGATCCAACAGAAGAGATGGGCTACTGGGCTCCTTGAAATCTTGTTCACCCCAAAAAACCCTTTTATTCTTACCCTCAATGGGAAGCTCCAGTTCCGCCAATGCTTGGCTTACACGTGGATTATACTATGGGGCCTCCGATCCATTCCTGAGCTTTGTTACGCTGCTCTGTCGGCCTACTGTCTCATCACTGACTCACATTTCATGCCCAAGGTGAGGACAAACCACCACCATCTGATTTTACTTTCATGTGGACTCAAAAGCATAATTGAGCAAATGAACCCAAAAACCCTTAAATAGGACTAACTCGACGTCTTTGAGTTTGGTTAGTTCAGTTTTTGAAGAGTTATTGTTTGATTATAAGTCCTGAAATGGTCAATCCAACTAAGTTAGTTTGGTTCTCAGATTAACCTCAATCAAATTCGTGTTTGCACACCCCTACTCCTAATTGGTCCTTGCATGTGATAGCTTTTTCCCTTTTGTTTTCATCACTCACATTAAGGGCTTATTTGTCATAATTCAAAAAGTTAAAAAGTCAAAAGTCATTATCTTAGTTAAGTCACATCATCTTATTTAAATCATATCATCTCTCTATCACATTACTTCAAACCCAACCCATATTTCATAAAAAATCAAAAAATGCATTTATTTAGAACATCTCAAACAATCCCTAAGAATTGTATCTGTCAATGAAATGTGGCTACAATATTTAAGAATTTTAGTAACTATTTTTTTTTTCTTCGAAAAAGTGAAAATTTAGTTGCAATAAATATTGTGAGACAAATTCTGATTGTTGCAAAGATTGTCGCCAAAGTCGCCAAAAGACCGTTATGAGAAAGTCAAATAAAATATTTTTAGCAACAAAATTTTGAAAATGTCTATAATAAATGCAAGATAACATTTTGGTCCCAAAAGGATACTAATTCATGACTAGATGTTCAATTTCATTGTTAAAAATACAATAATGACACTTTCTTTCTTGACAACTAGAATATTTTGTTTTTAAGAAGTAATTTTGTTCCTAAATTTGTATTTCTAGAATCTTAATTTGTTGTAGTGAGTATAAACAGGGTTGTCCTATTGCAACCAAATTTATTTTATTTTTTTCCAATTTTTCCTCATGCGCATTGGATTCCAAATCCTAGATATTATGTTTGAATATACTTGAATATATTTAGTCGATGACCAGATGATTTAGATCCATCTATTGATGCACACTATTTTTGTTGTTATTGTAACAGCTTAATATTTGTCCATGTAGGTTGGAGAACCAGTCATATTTATACCCATTGCCCTTTTTGCCATCTACAACCTCTACACTCTCTCTGAGTACCTCCGCATTGGCCTTTCAACCCGCGCATGGTGGAATAACCAGAGAATTTGGAGGTTAAACACCATGATCGCGTGGTCATTTGGAGTCTTAAGTGTTCTGTTGAAACTCTTAGGATTATCAGACACTGTGTTTGAAGTAACACAAAAAGATCAATCAACTAATGTCGATGACAACAATGCCAATGCCGGAAGGTTCACATTCGATGACTCCCCAAGTTTCGTCCTCGGTACCACCATTCTGCTGGTGAACTTGACTGCGTTGGCTATTGGATTATTAAGGTTCCGACTGGTGGGTGGCGATGGAAATGGGTCCGGGATAGGGGAGCTCATATGTAGTATGTGGGTGGTGCTATGCTTTTGGGCATTTTTGATGGGGCTATTTGGTAAAGGGAAGTATGGCATTCCCTTATCCACCATATACAAGTCAGGGGCTTTGGCATTATTGTTTGTGCAATTGTGTAAATGGGTCTAAGTTCATACCCTTATATTTTGTTTTGTGCACTTTTTCTGTGCATTTAGCTTTTTCCAATGAAAGCTCAATGGGTTCAATTTGATACTTTGGACCTGAAACTGGAGAAATATGAACTGAAATTTTGAAATAATAGAAGTGAACCTTTGAAGTACAACTTTTGGTTACCAAAAAGGGAAATGCTAAAAGCATGAAATTTTCAAGTTGTGTAATTTCTCAATGAAAATGGTATTGAAAATTAAGAAATTCTATAATACACACACCATTCATCCCATTTTCATGTACCAAATATGCATTTTGACTAGTTCCATCTTTTGCTGAACTATGGCATGCTAGTAGATGTCAAATTTCATGACCATAGTGTACAAAATTTTGGGCTAATGTGTGATCCATTTCTTTGCATCAATCACTACAAGAAAATTTGAAGTATATCACCCAAATCAAATGCTTTAAGGAAAAAGTTATACAACATTCCATGGGCTTGGCCATGTGTGTCACTCACATGCCCGATGAACGGAAACAACAAACTGATGTGTGTAGCACTGGCTTGACACTTAAACTAGTCAGCCAAACCAAACTAGGACAACATAAGTGACAAACAACGCAAACAAACTATACAAGCAAAATTCACATTACACAAACATTATCAAAGCAAGGCCATTTCATTACAATTTGATATGCATTTACAAGGCAAAAATGCTTACAAATGACAACCTAATACAACCCTAAAGTGGGGTCTGTTAAAAGGCGTAAGTGATCAGAATCATTAACCACTACAACAAATTACACTTTTGGCGACTAAATTTTTAGTTGCCAAAAGTCAATTTTTTAGTTGCCAAAGATTTTTGCCGATTAAAATTTTTGGTCGCCTGTTTGGTCGTTGACTAATTGTTGGCAAAAGAATTGGCGACTAATTTTTTTTAAATAAAAATTTAGTCGCCCAAAACAACATATTTAGTCGCTAAAAAGCAAAAAAAAATTATTTTCATTTTTTTAGCTACCAATTTTTTAGTCGCTAAAAACGTATTACTCCTTTTTGGCTACCAATTTTTTAGTCGCCAAAAACTTTCATTTTATTTAGCTACTAACTGTTTAGTCGCTAACAAGTTCCCTATTTATTTTTTGACTACTAAATGTTTAGTCGCCAAAAACTCTATTTATTAATTTTTTTTTAAATGCACAAATTGAATATTTTTTTATTAATTTCTACATTATATACATTCCATTATCAATGTAACCTGTACATATACAAAATAGTACGTCTATCAATTATAATCTAAATCATTACAGGAAAAAGCACATTTGGCGACTAAATTTCCCGACTAAAAAAAATTTGGTCACTGAAAATATAGCTTTTGGTGACTAACAAAGCATTAGTAGCCAAAAGTAAAGATTTTTGGCGACTAAAAAAATTTAGTATCCAAAAGTATAGTAATTGGCGACTAAAAATCTGTTTGGTCGCTGATATATGGCTTTTACTGACTAAAAAAATTTTAGTAGCCAGAAGTTAGGCCCTTTGGCGAATAAAAAAATTAGTAGCCAAAAGTGAGGCATTCAGCGATTAAATTGATGTTTGGTCGCCAAAAGTGCGGCTTTTACCGACTAAAAAAATTTTGGTAGCCAAAAGTTAGGGCCTTTGGCGACTAAAAAAAATTTAGTAGCCAAAACTGAGGCCTTTATCGACTAAAAAATTTTCAGTAGCCAAAAGTGAGGGTTTTTGGTGACTAAAAATAATTTAGTAGCCAAAAGTGAGACATTCGGCGACTAAAAAGAAGTTTAATCGCCAAAAGTAGTAATTTTAGCATGGGAATTTTTTTTTTAACGACTAAAAAATTATTAGTAGCCAAAAGTATAGAATTGGCGACTAAAATTATGTTTGGTTGCCAAAAGTGGTCTATTTTTTTTTCTAATAAATAATTTATTTTTACATGAATTATGTTCAATAAAAAATATTTATCTTTATATATATACTTTTATATTAATACGGGTCTATGTACTATATAAATAATATATGTTGCATATATAATCATATGGTGTTATGGAGGCGTCGTGGAAAGAAAGTGTTGTATGAGCTTTATAGTGTGGGAGGTTGATGGTTTGAATCTTTACAAGAGTAAAGTGTAATTTTTTTTTTCACGAAATCACTTTTGGCGACTAAAAGGTTTGGTCGCCGATTCCTTGAGTATTGGCGACTAAAACATTGGTCGGTAAATGTATAATTTTAAAAAAATATAATTGACTATTGGCTACCAATAATTTAGTATCCAAACATTGGTCCTTTGCCAACCAACTAAGGTAGGTTTTGCCGACTAATAAAATAGTAGCAAAATGTTTCACTTTCAGCGACCAAACACACGTTTAGTCGCTAAAACATTCGCTGACAGGGTTTAGGCGACTAAGTTGGCGACAAAAAAATTTAGTCGCTAATTGGTTTTGGCGACTAAAAAAGTGACCTTTGCCGACTAATATTTTAGTTGGCGAAACTGTTATTTCTTGTAGTGAATCCATTATCAATAATACCCATTTCATTATCAACTATCTAAAAACTTTAACTTGTAACATCATATTCCAAATATCATACAAATCCATACCAACCAAGTATAATTCAACTAAATTAAATATTACATACAAAAACACTGAATTTTCAAAACAAAGGATTGTATAAAAATAAATATCTTCCATATACAGAATAAATGCTCTTCGTACACCAAAATAAATAACCTGCTGCATAATAAAACTCTTCCAAGGATTTGAAATTATTTTGCTGTAAGTATGCCCAGGCCAAGTTGCTACCTACAGCCAATAAACCACCTACAAGCAAAATAAATAATAAGCCATTATCAAAAAAATAAAAAAAATAAAATAAAACTATAGACAGGTTTTCATTATACACAGGAATTTGAGGTCAATGTCTTTATCCCCTCACACTTGTCGATACCAAACTCAATTGATCTTTTTTTTTTTATTATTTTTTTTTATTTTAAGGGGTCACGACTTATGTAAAATGAAATTGAACATTGAACATTGAATTTTGTCTTTGGTGTCTTACCTTCTTTGCCACTGGTTCCAATCATTTTGAGGAGGACTGCAAGTAGTAGCTGGCTATTACAATCATTATAATTTAATTAATAGCCGATGATGTTATAACCTAATGATCATTATAATTATTTTGGGTATATATATCTAATAGCTGAATAATTTGATTCAATTCATATTTTAGTCATCATGTGGCTAGTGGTGATTAAGTCTTGTTTGTTTGCAAACTGATTATTGTAAATCATGTGTTAATAGGGTACTTAGATCTTGAGAAATTTGTGGAGTTCAAACTTGTTAAAAGGACAAAAGTTACCCATAATGTTGCAAGGTTCATTATGCTTTACAAAATAGAAAACTAAATGTAATGCATGAATTTTAATCTATGTATAAAATAGAAAAAGATAAACTATGGTAAGGCCAATATTATAAAGACAAAAAACTCATTGTAATGTTTCTACATCAGCTCCAATTCAAGCATGCCAAAGGTAGTTGATTACTTCTACTTAAACAGGTTGATGACAGTCATGAGACTTTGGGCTCTGAGGATATTGTTGAATATTGGCTACAGCAAAGAGAGAGAGAATTACAGAGAGTGTTGTAATTCACCATTTTGTTCAATATAGTGAATCCGCTGCCCGTGGACGTAGGCGACTTGCCGAACCACGTTAAAACTTGTGTGTTATTGCTTGTTTGAGTTCCCTGGTGTGCCCCTTGGGCTCTGAGGATATTTGAGGTACAAGTGCAGCTCTGAACTAATTTTATACACAAGTTAATTTGTCACCAACAAGAACAAATAGCTAACCCTACAAATGAAATAGAAATAGAGTAAATATTCGCCCGTTGGATTGCTAAATTTGGGGCAATCCAATACGACAAAAGGAAAATAAATAAATAAATAAATAAAGGACTCATTACACTATTACTTATATAATATAATGTCATAGAAATGATTATCAATGAGTAAAAATACATATATATACATTTTATTTGACTTGATAATCCATCTCATCAAACAGAATGGTTATCCAACATAACTTGCTTTTCCAACTCAGCAATTTACAAGATGCAATTGAGCCAATTACAAGAGTAACAGGAAGTCACAAAAATGATTTTTGTGCGCAAACAGCATACAGGTATAGAAATAATTCACTCAATTTCAATGATGTACAACTCCTTTTTCTCAGAAGGAATTAGACTCCACATTTTCAAAAACTATGAAAATATAAGATTGTGAGCAAGACTGAAAAATGGTTCACTAAGATTTGTAATTCATTAAAACTAGTAACTATCAGAATCTAGTCACTACAAGAAAATACACCTTTGGCGACTAAATTTTTAGTCGCCAAAGGTCCTTTTTTAGTCGCCAAAGGTCGAATTTTCACTTTTCCCGACAAAAACTTTTAGTCGCCACTGTTGTCGCGAATTCATGGTCGCCCATTCCTTTGGCGACTAAAAACCTGTTAGTCGCCAATTCACAGGTCTTCAGCGACGAATTTTTTTGTCGCCAAATGCAATTCCATTTTTTGAAATCATACATTTAGCGACTAAATTTTTAGTCGCCAATAGTGATTTTTTTTATTTATTATTTAAACATTTCCCGACTAAGATTTTCGTCGCCAAAAGGTACACCTTTCGGCGACTAAACTCTTTTAGTCGCCAAAAGACTATTTCAGAAAAAAAAAAAAAAATTCCCTCTGCTGGATTCCCCAAGGTTCGAACCTGTGTCCCAACACTTGCACCCACTGCGCCTTTACCAACACATGCTCACCCACTACGCCACTCCCAATTCACATGAATATTATTGCAACAAATATTATTTATATACTATATTCACTGGTATTAATACAAAATTGTATATATGAAAATAATTTTTTTTATTTAATATATTTTATGTAAAAAATAAAATATTTACAAAAAAAAATAGGGTAAGCACTTTTGGCGACTAAATCTGAATTTTAGTCGCCAATACTCCATTTTTTGGCTACTAATTTCTTTTCTATCGCTAAAACAGTTACAACGCGCCTAAGGCTAGCACATTTGGCGACTAAACTCAATTTTGGTCGCCAAAACCTCTACTTTGGGCGACTAAAATGCATTTTAGTCGGCAATTCTTGACCTTTAGCTACTAATTTTTTTTTTGTAGCCAAAAAACGTCACTTTCAGTGACTAAATTGTTTTTAGTCGGCAAAACTGCTATAATCAGCGACTAAACCTGTTTTTTGTCGCCAAAACCATAACTTTTCGCTACTAAATTATTTTAGTCGCCAAAAACCGTGACTTTTGGCTACTAAACAAACTTTAGTCTCTAAAAACCCTATATTCGGCGACTAAACTTCCTTTTAGTCGCTAAAACCCTGCTTTTCGGCGACTAAACTCTTTTAGTTGCTAAAACCCTTATGTTCGGCGACTAATTCCATTTTAGTCGCCATTTCATGCACTTTCAGCGACGAATTTTTTTTTTTAGTCGCCATTTGAGTTTTTTGTTGTAGTGAGTGAAGCAAAGTTCGCAGAACATATGAGGTAGAAAAGTAGAAACTTTTATGAATGAAATCAGCTCTGGTGGCACACCACAACCATCAAACCTTGTCGCTATTAATGTTAAGCAATAAACAAACCAGAGTAGAATCTTTCTAACAAGAGGGAACAAGTATTTCAGCAAAAAAAGAAAATCCACTGAATTTTTTCATGGAAACTACTTTTGGATGATTCTTGGATATGTGTCCTCATTATAAAGAAAATAAGGAAAAAAGCATTATTGAAGTAAAAATGAGGAAGATAGACATGGGCTCCTATAGAGCTAAGCAGGAAGACATACAAGCATTGAGCCAATGACTTGATGTGCATTACTAGCCTACGTTCCAAACCATTTTATGAACATGGATGCAATTATATCCAATTCTGTGTATCATTTCTAACAAGTAAGAACAAACACACAAACTTACCAGGTCTCTTATTAGCAGTTGGTGTAAAGACAGGACCAACAAAACAGATAAAGATGATAGAAAATAGGACCAACCTTCCTACATTTTAAGATGATAGAAATTGCTCCACAGCAAACCACCAAGATTACCAATGTAGATAAAACAATGATGATAATAGTTTTAGAGTTCATCTTCAGGTCCTTGTCAACAAAATCTGCGGTAATAGGGAATTGCTGACTTCCAGCACTTCCGCTTGGGCCATTACCCATGGAACCCTCAAATGGTGGTGAAGAAGGAAGCCCTGTTAATTAACTTTTTTAGACTCTCAACAGAATTATCACATAACATATAACATAGACAAAAACTCAAAGATCTAAGATTGCTACCTGGATAATTAATGTACATCACTTCATAATTGCCAAAAAGAGTCTTATTTAGAGGCACCTTCTTCTACCAAAATCTCTCATAAGTCAACATAACAGAGGTATTATCAAACTTCTCTCCCAAAGGACAAAAGCATACTTGGGTTTTCAATTTCAAAATCATTAAAACACCCAAAATGGTTATTCAAACACAAATTCAGATTCACAGCAACAACTTCAATAACGAGCAATCAAACCCACAAAACAGAACAACTAATAAATAGATCAATTAAAATATAATCGACTTACTCTTGAGTTCATCGAGCCACCGCTTGATGCTATCGAAAGTAGTCCGGCGAGTGATATTGTAGACGATGAGAGCACCAATAGCACCTCTGTAGTAGGCGGAGGTGACAGCGCGGAAGCGCTCTTGGCCGGCGGTGTCCCAGACTTGGGCTTTGATCTCCTTGCCATCAAGCTCCATCACCTGGGTCTGAAGCTCTACTCCTACTGTGGCTTTTGAGTGCAAATCGAACTCGTCTCTCGCAAATCGCGAGAGCAAGTTCGATTTTCCCACCGCTGAGTCCCCAATCACCACTATCTTGAACAAGTATTCTCCTTCTGATTTCTCCATTTTTGTTTGGTTTGTTTGGGTTAGAGAGAGAGAGAGAGAGAGAGACAAAGAGAGACAGACAGACAGACAAACAATCTGTTTTGTCTAAACAGAGAACCGTCTATTTTGTCTATGGTTGGTCGGCCTTCTGCCAGCCACTTATCGGCCATGAAGTGGCCTGGCGACCACTGATGCATAGGTTCATCTTGCTGCAACAGAGGACAAACAGAGCATATACAGGATATTTCAAGGGTTTGTTTGCACCACTTGTTTGCACCACTTATCCCTCCCTTTCATTGAACAAATCCAAGGAGTAGCAAGTTTGGTTAACAAACCATCAATGGATGCAATTTCATTGCATGATGGCCTATAAAACCAAGTGTGCAAGTTCAATAAATGCAAAACAAGAGACAAACCTCCTCCATTTCATGAATGATCAAGGGAAGTGGTAATGTTGGAACTTGAATCATTTCATCACTAGCAAGTATGAAATGGTTCAAGTTTCCATGTGTTCAATTAACGTCCGATTAAACACAACCAAATTATTATCTTTCACCATTTTAGTTCCAAGTTTTAGTTACTCCATTTTAAAATTACCATCCATCCTTTAATCAATTAAGTCCAAAGGGTGAGATTAAGTCCTCTAATGGAAAAAAGACTCAAACCAAAAGTTGTTTTAGGCATGAAAGAGACATCATACCATTAGTAATGAACCCCCTAAGGGATTAAACTGTTAAGCATGACACCTCAATCTCATGCTTTCAACAAACAAGTAGTTTGAACCACTTTCAAAGAAAAACAAAAAGCCAAGAAAGGAGACAGGTTGCAGAGATTATTAGTGCTGAAAATGAGTGAGAAAAGCATAATAAATGCTATCAACTCAAAGGAGAAGGTGTCTAAGGCCTAGAACGCCAAACTCATGAGGACAATTACACTACAAGCATGCAAAATAAAGCTCAAATACAATTGATAGCCCAAAACAGTGCTAAAATAGTCTAAAGCAAATCCTAAAACATGTTGGAATTGAGCTAAAAATAGCTAGATTAACATGCCAAAACAGGGCACAAGCTAGGCTAGTGAACAAGACACAATGAGGGGAGGCTAACCCGTCCAAATTTGGACTTCAAAACATGATTTTGGCCACTGAAAAAGCTTTAAAAATTAGTGTTTAAAAGCTTGCGAAAAGATGGTAAAAGGATGGAAAACACAAGGGCAAAGGCCTCCAAAACAAGGTATAAAGAAGGGTGAACCTCCCCGTAACCTTTAATGGCCTTAAACCCAAGCTTCAACCCAAAATATATAGAGTTTTGACAGCCCAAAACAATGGAAAAACAATAGGAAAAATAGTAGAGAAAGCAAGCAAATAGGCAAAGTCTTATACCACTTGAAGAGAAGAAGCAATTCAAGCAACAAAACCAAGCAAATAACACCCTCAAGAGCTCAAACCAAGCTCAAGAGTACCTCAACTCAAAGATGAGAAGATTTGGTTAAGGGTGTATAGGCAAAGGTTGAGGAATTGTAGGCAAAAATGTAGAGATTTGGTAGAAAGAGAGGAAAATTTTTTATCTCAAAATTTTCTAACCTTAAAACATTAGAGAGGGGGCTCCTATATAGAAAATATGAAATTCCCTCAAGGAGATCTAGTCCTACACGTGGGGATAGATGCATACATCTGTGCCAACAGCTGGCATAAATGGCATAAAATATCTGCAAAATACACTGGTGGCCGGCAAGCCACATCATTGGCCGGTAGCCCAAAAGTGATGGCCGGCAGCCCAAAAGGGGTGGCCGGCAGGCCACCAGAGGCTAAAGGCTGGAAAAGCTAGGCTTGGTCCAAAATTGGGACAACAAAGGTACAAGGTTTAAAGGGCTCAAAGTTGTGGCATTCTGCTGAGAACTTCGAACACTTGGCAAGCGTATAAACTTATCATCGGGTGTGCATGGAATGGTGTCCAAGTCGTAAAGGCTGTCAAAAATGGGGTGTCTATAGTTGCCCATTTTTAACGGAACTCGAAGTCATGAAATGACGTGAGTGAATGTCAAAGCCCAAAGATGACCCATTTTGACAAGGCCGTAAGACTTGGACAAATGATCAAGACAGAAATAAATACGTATCTCTTTGCAAAGAATCAAACCAACGTAGTTTTAGGGCAAAATGCAAATGATATACATAATGTAACTTTGAAAGCCGGACTCACACGCTTCGCGAAGCCGACTATTTTGAAAACTCATGATCATGCAAGATGATGTAATAGGCAATAACAAATGTGATAAGCAAGAATGAATACAATAAGCAAAATAACAACATATGAATGAGCAGTTTCAAGTTAAAACCAACACAGGTTTCCATAGAAAAGATAAAACACATTATAACCACGTCAAAATAAGAAGCGAGGAAATAAAACACCGCTCAGGGTTGCGTTTCACGCACCTTGAGAAATTGAGAAAACCGCTCGGGGTCGTGTTTCACACGTCCTGAGATACAAGAGAAACCGCTTAGGGTCACGTTTCATGTGTCCTGAGAACCAGAGGAATAAAAACTGCTTGGGGTCTTGTTTCACATGTCCCGAGAAATAAGAAAAATTGCTCGGGCTTGCGCTTCACGCGTCCCGAGATACAAGAGGATCCGCTCGAGCTCGCGCTTTATGCGTCTCGAGAAGCAAGAAAAAAATCAACTCAGGCTCGTGTTTCACGCATCCCAAGAAATAAGAGAACTCGCTTGGGTTCGCGTTTCACGTGTCTCGAGATATAACACGAAAATCGCTCAGGCTCGTGCTTCGCACGTCCCGAGATCAAACTCATCTAGGACCACGTGTCACGCATCCTGAGATAACAAAAAACTGCTCGAGCTTGTGCTTCGCATATCCCAAGATGAAACCTGCCTAAGGTTGTGCGTCATGTGTCTTGAGATAACAAGAAAACTGCTCGGGCTCATGCTTTGCATATCCCGAGATGAAACTCGCCCAAGGCCGCGCGTCACACGCCTTGAGATAACAAGAAAACTGCTCGGGCTAGTGCTTCGCACGTCTCGAGATGAAACCCATCTAGGGTCACATGTCACGTATCCTGAGATAACAAGAAAACCGCTCGGCCTCGTGTAAAAATATTGAGTTATTCATTAATGAAAAATACTTTATTTTTCAAAATTTTTTGAACATTTAATATATTGTAGAAAAATGAATTATGAGTCTAACGGTATAATCCATGATTCAATAAGAATTATAACGAATAATATAGAAGCAATTAACGTAATTTTGAAATTAAAAGAAAACAAACAGAGCCTTAATAACGCCTGCATCAGCACTTACCTAAGTAGATGACATCATCGCTTGCTTCAGTACCTCTGTCAGCGCCTCAATGCACATGTCAGCACTTGGAAATACGTCGCAGCAACTTTCAGTGCGTGGGGACCATGCGCTAGTTCCCGGACTCTGTTTCGAATCGATTTTGGTAGTATCCGACTCGATTTTTTGAGAGGAATTCAATGGTGGTCTCAATTTTTTATTTTGACAAATCTAAAATAGGGAGTGTAATCCACTCTCTCTCTAATGAGAGTGGGAGTACAGATTCTCTGCAATCTATAGTCCACAATAAACCACAAAAAATATAAAAACGAATCTAAATTAGGGTTTATGATTTCTCTCAATTCGTAAGTCAGAATCAAACCCATAATATACTATTTTGAAGGTCTAGGTACCACAACATGAAAACAAATTAGGGTTTATGATTTCAAATATTTAATTTTCCCAACATGAAAAAAAATCATGTAAAACCAGCATGCAGTCAAAGTTACGAAAATTAAATATGCCGTTTATTTGTTTCAAAATTTTACAAACATGCTCTATATTATATGGACTACAACATATAAAAAAATTTAGGATGATCAGAGATCATTATAACAAAAAAGGGTTTTAACGGCACCAAATACACGTCGTGGAAACGATTCTACGACGCTCGATGTAAAGCCGTGTTATGACCAGTCATGGAAAGTCATTCATTTCAACGACATTCTATAGTACACCGTTAAAAACCCTTTAATAGTGGATTTTATACGTCGCGTTTAATTTTTCTACAACTACTTTTGCATGCTGTTAAAAACCCTTTAACAAGGGATCTTGTGCTTCGTGTTTGAGTTTTCTACAACTATTTTTGCACATCGTTAATTTCTGAGACAAACCACAATTCTTATTACATGTCGTAAAATATGTAATATAACGATCTATTATGCCTACCGTAAAATATGCAGGATTTTTTTTTTTAATTCAGTATGGTCTATTTAACCTGTTTTGTATAATCTAACAAATATTACAAACAAGTTTCACAAAACATCAATTAACTACCAAAACATTGTTTCAAGCATAAAAAAGTAGAATAATTTTATTCCATTTCAAAATACAAGATTACATTTGGGAAAAAACTCACATTGGTTCACAGGGATCTTGGAATAGTACAATTATGGTGGGCCACTTAAAACAGAGACATAAACTACAATTACAAATATGCTTTTGGCAACCTAGCAATAAGGGTAATGACAGTGTGGCAACATAGCTTAGGCAACATGCACCAGCATACCCAAATAGTGAGCTATCAGGTTCTACAATAACAGCTCCGTGAGCAAGTAGACAGATCATATAATTAATATATCATATTGGCCTGAGGGTGAAGAATGCAAACCATCACAATAGTTCAGTAATTATATAAATTGAAACCATGTTACCTACAGTCTCTCTGTCTTTGTCTCTCTCTCTTTCTCTCCTCTACTTCTAGTCTTTCTTTTTTTATAGCTTTTTTTCCCAAATAAAACAATCCAAATTCCAATTATACTAGCCTAAAATTGCTAGTTCAAGACAACAACAAAATCATGCAAGTTTACTTCGGTTTCTCCCTGAAAATGTTTCTTTCCATTTGCCCTTTTTCCCCTTTGCTTAGCTCCTACAAGTTTTAATTAATTTTTTTAAAAAACTTTGTGAAATATTGTTGTATCTAAAAGCTAGCTATATATCAAGACAAAACAACATAGTACAAAAGCTTGAAAGAAGCAAAAGCATCACATGTATGTATGAAAGAGATTGATTTCTTGAAATCTTGTTAAATTCATATGCACTCAACACATATCAACACAAATTTTTTATTTTTAAACTAAACTGACATGAAAGCTATTTTTCATAAAAAGACTTTCTCTTAAGTGATTCAAGGCAAGTTTACCTAGGTTTTTCCATGAGAATATTTCCTACCCGTTGCATCTTCACTTAGTTCGTACAAGTTTTATTTGAAAAAGTGTAAAAACTAATATGAAACATCAATAGATATAACATTTATTGTCACATGCTTTCTTAATCTTTTTATCTCATTTTGCCTCTTTCCTTTTAAAATTTCATCTCTCATATCTTGGAGTTCTTGTTGTAAGAGCAGCATTTGTTGATTTTGTATTCACACATTTTGATTTTGGTACACTTACGCATCAACTTTCGATGGCAATGCTCCAAATCCAAGCCCCGTACACTACCACGGTGTTCTAGACCAAACGCATGAACAATTGCTTCATTTTTTTTAATAGACATTGGGCCTTCTTCTGTAAAAGGCTTGTGAAGCTCTTCAATCTTTTTCTACAATATATAACATTTATTAACAATAATGCTATGCTATATCAACAATGGAAACAAATAAGCAACTACAAATGTGACACCCTAAATATTTAATTAATATCACAATCAATCATAATAATAATAATAATGGATATGGTAGTAAAATAAATAATTAATTTTGGTATGTAGTAAAGCGTAATTTAATTAGGATTTAGTTTGTTTGTTTTTATCAAACGAGTGGTATATAATTATTTAAAAAAAAAAAAACTGGGCCAAAGTATAATTAACGTAGAGGTTAATAGGATAAGGATCAATCTAACGGAAGATCGGATCAATCTAAGGAAGATTTGGTGTGGCCATGTGTTGGTCGATGGCATGATTTGCCTCCCTATTTATAGGGAGGAGTTGCTCAAAGATCAGTGAAGAAAAAAAGAGAGAACACGAAAGATATATTAGAACTAGGAAATTATAGTAGGAAGGTTTGTGATAGCGGAAAGTAAAGACTAAGGGTCAATATTAAGGTGAGTTATATTATACCTTGAGTCACCATAGTATATTTAACGTATGTTTTGACTTACCATAATTTATTTTATACAAGTTATGTTTTGTAAATTATATTAATATTTCAATTACGTGGGTTATTTTCCGAACTCTATTTGTTTAAAATGACCCATGGATATATTTGTTTAAATTTTAGTATATATTTGACTATGACCTTATAAACAATTATGTTTTGTAAGTACCATCACAGGAGTCCCACGCCTTGGGAGACTTAAATAACCATTGGCCTCTGTTTGACTACTTTGTAGTCCTCTGTTTGTCATGGATCTATTGACATCTGTTCTGACTATCACTTCTGTGACTATTGTTCTGTTATGTTATGTTCTGTACCGTGGTTATGGTTATTTATTTATATAATTTCTGTATTTCGGTTTCTGCCACTTAAATGATTTATTTACCAAATTGAGTTATGTAAATGTTTTGGCTTAACTAACTATCCATGGTTATTTTGTATTTCCTATACTCTTGGCATAATATTTCTCACTCTGCTGTGTGCTTATAGCTGTTACCCTTTCAGGTGATGAGATGTAGGGAAGACCCATAACCTTGTGTAGTGGAATCTGTGCAAGAAATTGATACGGATCCGTTAATTTGCTTTTCTTTTCTTTTCTTCCTGTCGTTTTTCTGATGGCCGGTGGCTGCATAATCAAATAATAAAAGCCCATGGATGTAATTTTTTTTTTAGTAGAATGAAGTAACTTTATGTTTAATTATTTTATTTCCGTTTGCCTCCGTTTGCGCAGTTTAAATTGCTACGACTAGAATAAATTAGTAAGTTGCTATTCTAACCCTAAGCCTTGGGGTTGGGTCGTGACAAAGGTGGTATTAGAGCAATGGTTCATTCAAAAAAAAAAACAAAAAACAAAAAACAAAAAAACAAAAAAGAAAAGCTATTTTAATTTGATCAGAAAGTTCGAAAAGTTATAAATAAAACTATATAGCTAGATAAACATAATAAAAATAAATAAATAAATATTTACCTACAACGTTAGTCCTTCTGTGTAAAATCTCACATTTCTTCTAGTGATGTAGGAATGTCCGAGATTAACCTTGATGATGCGTTTTGAGATGAGCTCAGGGCTATTAATTTAGATGAGATTTTAGCAAAGCACCCCGCCCCCACCTCACTTGAAGGATGGGGAGATTCAGAGGATATAATTAGAGGACTGCATCCAGGCCTTGCCCAATTAATGGGTCGGCCAATCTATGTACATGTTGACCCTACCGATGTCCCATATTTACTATGGAGGCAGAGTCGCCCCTATACGCGCAGATGTTTTCTTGGACCCACTCATGTCCTTAGTGTTGCCCTAGGACATGATCGCTTGCACTACATCATAGGCCCTTTGCCCCCAGATTTTGTGGCAAGAAGGGGAAATATATACCCCGAGGACTACATTGTTACCATTGTCCCTAACCCGTTGGCGATTATTAATATTCAAAATGTTGACTTTAGTAATGACCTTTCATATATTGAGACACCTGGCTGGATTGTTGACCAAACATTTTTGGGATACATACAGTCTGTCCCCATTTTCATAGTCAAGGCAGTGTGGATGTGTTTTGGTGTGTTCCAATTAGGATGGGAATTTGAGCTTTTTATGCAATGCTACTTCCCATGGTTGTTTGACCCGTTTGACCCACTACCCTAGATTTAGTAGAAGAAAAATTTTGTGAGCTAACCATGATGAGTTCTAATTCCTCTTTTGTTTTTGTATTACAGGGATGAGACACTAACACAATTTTTGATGTTTGGAACAAAGATGTAATATTATATTTGCAAAAATAGTAAAGATGGTATTTTCGATATGCAATATATATGTTGCGTTATGAATATAATGTTCGTTTATTACTTGTAGAATGACCAATAATGGTAACGGAAGTGAGTCATCAGTCAGTGGCACTGAATCGATGGAAAAAATCATGGAAAGAGAGATTACTAGCTTTTTGTAAGCCTTGCAGACTAACTTCAACAATGGAATGTCGGAACGGCGAGAAGAGTCGGTGACCATGAAACAATTCCAGGATCTAAAACTCACCACATTTACCGGCGGTCCAGACAAAATGACAGCGGATGCCTAGGTTAAAGACATGGAAAAGATTTTCCACGCCCTACCTTGTGCTGAAAGACAAAAGGTAACTTTCGCCACTTTCACTTTAAAAAATAATACACAGGAATGGTGACTTCTCACTCTGGAGGAAGAATAAATTGCGACATGGGCAAGATTCTTGGAAGTATTCTACGCAAAATACTTCCCAGATTCATTGCAGGAACAGAAGACATCAGAATTCATACATCTAAAGTAAGGAACCATGACGATGGCCGAATACAAGAGCAAGTTCACACAATTCGCTCGGTTTGTGACATACGTCATCCCCACCGAAACTCGAAAAGAAAGAAAATTTGAAGCAGGATTGGATGCTTAAATTAAAGATAGGCTCGAGGTCTTGAAACTGCCAACCTATGCAGAAGTGGTACACTGGGCATAGATTGTAGAAAAGGGGATTAAAGTCTCGCGTTCCGGGGAAGCAAGCCAAAAGAAGCGATTCTGGGAAAGAGACAATAGAAGACCCGGTGTTGCACCTCCTAAGAAGGTGAATGCGGGCACAACCAGTTTAGGCCATCAAGGTCTTACCAATCCCCGAGGTGGCATTATTCCAATTTGTCCTACTTGTGGGAAGGCTCGTTGGGGACAATGCCATCAAGACACGGGAGCATACTTTAAATGCGGTCAAGTTAGCCACTTGCTGAGGGATTGTCCAAAGTTGACCAATCTTACAGCCAACCCTTCTGGCCTAGTCAGAAAACCCACAGGACCTGGAGGAGAGAGGAAAGACCAAAAACCCCAAGGAAGGGCTTTCGCCTTGGTACCTGGAAAACCAGAAGTTACCGAAAATGTTGTGTCAGGTATACTTTCTGTCTATGGGCATTTAGCTCACATCCTCATTGACTTTGGGTCAACTCATTCTTTTGTTGCACCATATTTTGTTGCCAAGTTGGCATCAACACCCGAACCATTAGGATATATATTGTCTGTGTCTTTTCCTTTTGGTAAGTCTGTATGTGGTACTGAGGTGTACAGATCATGTACTATATCCTTAGAAAGCAAAACCTTATACGTAGACTTGATTCTCCTCCGCATTGGAAACTTTGATGTGATCTTAGGTATGGATTGGCTGCTTGCCAACCACGCCTCTATTGATTGTAAAACTAAAAAGGTCTCCCTGAAGTTACAAAACCAACCAGATCTTGTCTTTGATGGGACTGGAGTTTCCAACCCTCCCTGTATTATATCTTCCATGACAGCCCAATGACTTCTAAACAAGGGTTGTTGTAGTTATATCTGTTATGTGATCGATACACAAAAAGAGGCCCCCCACCGTGGATGCAATCCCCGTGGTTCGAGAATTCTCGAATGTCTTTCTTGAAGATCTACCTGGTATCCTGGTTGATCTGGAAATCGAATTCACCATTGAAACCCAACCTGGCACGCAACCAATATCAAAAGCTCTTTATCGCATGCCAATAACAGAATTGAAAGAACTGAAGACTCAACTCTAGGAACTCCTAGACAAAGGTTTCATTCGACCGAGTACCTTAACCTGGGGAGCTCCAGTATTGTTCGTGAAGAAAAATGATGGCATGATGAGATTATACATAGATTATTGAGAGCTGAACAAGGTCACCATCAAGAATCGGTACCCTTTACCGTGAATCGATGACCTGTTCGATCAACTTCAAGGCGCTCATGTATTCTCCAAAATTGACTTACGTTCTGGCTATCATCAACTAAAAGTCAAAATGGAAAGCATCGAAAAGACTGCCTTCAGAACCCATTACGGCCACTACGAGTTTCTTGTCATGCCTTTTGGTGTCACAAATGCCCCAGCAGCCTTCATGGACCTCATGAACCGAGTGTTCAAACCTTATCTTGATGAGTTCGTCATCGTCTTTATCCACGACATTCTCTTATACTCCAACTCACCGGAAGACCATGAGAAGCACTTGCGAACGGTTCTACAAACACTGTGTGACCACAAACTTTATGCCAAGTTGAAGAAATGCGAATTTTGGATCACTAGTGTATACTTTCTCGGTCATGTCATTAACAAAGATTGCATCTCGGTTGACCCCAAAAAGTTGCAGCAATCGTGAATTGGCCACAACCTACCAATGTGCCAAAAATTCGAAGTTTCCTGGGTCTAGCTAGTTATTACCGACGCTTTGTGCAAGATTTCTCAAAAATAGCATCACCTTTGACCCAGCTAACTCATAAAAACACACCCTTTGAATGGACTAACAAACAAGAGCGTTGCTTTCAAGAATTAAAAAATCGACTGGTGTCAGCTCCCATACTAGCACTCCCTACAAGAGTAGATGGGTTTGTAATTTATAATGATGCCTCATACAATGGTTTAGGTTGCGTTTTCATGCAAAACAGAGTCATTGCTTATGCGTCGCGACAATTAAAGACTCACGAGAAGAACTATCCGACTCATGATTTGGAATTGGTTGTGGTGATCTTTGCACTCAAAATCTGGCGTTATTATCTCTACAGTGCAACCTCCGAGATTTACATTGATCACAAGAGTCTTAAATATCTGTTCAGTGGCTAGAATTTATGAAAGACTATGATATAGAGATCCATCACCATCCAGGTAAAGCTAACGTAGTGACAGACGCACTCAGCCGAAAGACAACTAGAGGTCTGCCATGTACTTTCATTTTCTGCAAGATCAATGGACTGCTCGCCAATATAACCGTAGAACCTACCTTGATTGAAGAAATTAGAGCACGACAATGTGAAGATACACTTTTGAAGAAAAAGTACGATGAGCAAAGGAGTATGCCTGATCTTGATTTCACTATAAACAATGGGATACTAAAATTTCGGAATCGAATTTACGTACCCGATATTTCGGAACTCAAGAAGAAGATATTGGTAGAAGCTCATAGCTCGAGATTTGCAGTCCATCCTGGCAACACAAAGATGTACCATGATCTAAAAGAACACTACTAGTGGACAGAAATGAAAAAGACATAGCAAGCCATGTCTCCAAATGTTTGCATTGTCAGCGTGTTAAAGTAGAACATTAGAGACCTGCAGGACTGTTGCAATCACTCCCTATTCCTGAATGGAAATGGAAGCACATTACTATGGACTTCGTGGTCAGGCTACCACAGCCATTTTCGAAGAACGATGCAATATGGGTTATAGCAGACCGATTGACGAAGTCGGTGCATTTTTTGCCAATCAAAATCATGTACTCCCTTAATAAGTTTGTCACTTTATACATCAAGGAAATTATTCGTTTGCATGGTACCCTAGTTTCAATTGTGTCTGACCGAGACCCCCACTTCCTGTCTCACTTTTGGAACAAATTGCAGGAGGCTTTAGGGACTACACCGAAGTTTAGCACGGCTTATCATCCACAAACTGATGGGCAATCCGAAAGAACAATCCAGACGCTGGAAGACATGTTACGTGTATGCGTGTTGGACCTCAAAGGTAACTGGGATGAACACCTACCTTTAGTGGAATTCGCCTATAACAACATCTACTAAACAAGCATTGGAATGGCACCATACGAAGCCCTTTATAGAAGGAGATGTCGATCACCTCTGTGTTGGGAGGAAGTCAGAGACAGGAAACTATTAGGCCCCGAGATCGTGCAAGTCACAAGTGAAAAAATCTAACTCATCTAACAACGAATTCGCACTACTCAGAGCCATCAGAAAAGTTATGCAGATACAGACGAGACGTGGAATTTCAAATAGGAGATCATGTGTTCCTTAAGATCTCACCATCATGAAGAGTTATCCGATTTGGAAAGCAAGGAAAGTTAAACCCACGTTACATCGGGCCATTCCAGATACTGGAAAGGATTGGCCCTGCAACATATCGCCTTGCACTACTGCCTAAACTGTCCAACGTTCACTACGCGTTCCACGTTTCAATGCTCCGACGGTACCTCCGAGATCCAAAACATGTTGTCGACTATGAAAACTTGGAAGTCCAAGAGGACCTCTCTTATGAAGAGTAACCAGTGCAGATTCTCGATTGTCATGATCAAGTTCTTTGAAATAAGACCATACCGTTGGTAAAAGTTTTATGGCAAAATCATCGTATTGAAGAAGCTACGTGGCAAACAGAAAGTCAAATACAAGCCAAATACCGGCACCTCTTCGAAAATTAAGGTATGTCAAGTTTGGGGACAAACTTCGATTTAGGAGGAGAGAAATGTGACACCCTAAATATTTAATTAATACCACAACCAATAATAATAATAATAATAATAATAATAATAATAATAATAATAATAATAATAATAATAATAATAATAATGGGTATGGTAGTAAAATAAATAATTAATTTTGGTATGTGGTAAAGTGTAATTTAATTAGGATTTAGTTTGTTTGTTTTTATCAAACGAGTGGTACATAATTATTTTTAAACAAAAAAATTAGGCCAAAGTATAATTAACGTAAAGGTTAATAGGATAAGGATCAATCTAAGGGAAGATCGAATCAATCTAAGGAAGATTAGGTGTGGCCACGTGTTGGTCGATGGCATGATTTGCCTCCCTATAAATAGGGAGGAGTTGCTTAAAGATCAGTGAAGAAAAAAAGAGAGAACACGAAAGAGATATTAGAACTAGGAAATTATAGTTGGAAGGTTTGTGATAGTGGAAAGTAAAGGCTAAGGGTCAATAATTAAGGTGAGTTATATTATACCTTGAGTCACCATAGTATATTTTACGTATGTTTTGACTTACCATAATTTATTTTATACAAGTTATGTTTTGTAAATTATATTAATATTTCAATTACGTGGGTTATTTTCCGAACTCTATTTGTTTAAAATGAAATCCATGAATATGTTTGTTTAAAATTTTAGTATATATTTGACTATGACCTTATACACAATTATGTTTTGTAAATACCACCACGGGAGTCCCATGCCTTGGGGGATTTAAATAACCATTTGCCTCTATTTAACCACTTTGTGGTCCTCTGTTTATCATGGATCCATTGACCTCTGTTCTGTTCTGTTCTGTACCATGGTTATGGTTATTTATTATATAATTTCTGTATTTCGGTTTCTGCCACTTAAATGATTTATTTACCAAATTGAGTTATGTAAATGTTTTGGCTTAACTAACTATCTATGATTATTTTGTATTCCTTACACTCTTGGCATAATATTTCTCACTGTGCTGTGTGCTTATAGTTGTTACTTTTTTAGGTGATGAGATGTCGGGAAGACCCATAACCTCGTGTAGTGGAATCTGTGCAAGAAATTGATGGGGATCCGTTAATTTGGTTTTCTTTTCTTTTCTTCCTTTGATGGCCGGTCGTTACATAATCAAATAATAAAAGCCCATGGATGTTTTTTATTTATTTTTAGTACAATGAAGTAACTTTATGTTTAATTATTTTATTTTTGTTTGCCTCCGCTTGCGCAGTTTAAATTGCTACGATTATAATAAATTAGTAAGTTGCGATTCCAGTCCTAAACCCCTGGTTGAGTCGTGACAACAAAGATATTGAATATGATATATTCCAAAAATATGGATGAACAACCCAATAAAATAGTGATTTTTGGCCTATTAACAAGACCACAAAAGCATCTTTTTTTTTTTTTTAGGTACTTAGGAAAGTTGGACCACAAAAGCATCAAAGCAATGAAATCGGTAACAAAAAGATTCTGCTACAGATAAATCCAATTCAAACAAAAAAGAAGATTGGAATTATATTTTTTTATATGGGAGTGTTATAACTACCAACAATTATATTTCCTCAACAGATGAGAAAGTGGGTTAATCGTACTTATCCTTAGGATAAGTTAATCCAAATTCACTCAAATTGGGTCTCTTTATGGATCTTGGGTCATACACCATGAACAACCCAATCAGATATAGGTTCTAAATCCGACCCAATTTCCAACAAAAGCTCTTACACTCCATGCATCAAAGTTACCACATAAATCCCCTATAAATAACCATAACCAGAAGATCAAACACACCCAATGACAAACAAAGCCAGTCCTCTTGGAAGATAAGTGCACCTCTTATTCCTCTTCAAAATGGCCAAACCTATCTCTCTACCTCTCCATGAAAGAATCAGTCGTAGAAACAACATACCAAGAGCTGTTGAACTCATCATCCTTTCCCTCATCTTCTCTCTCCTACTCTATCGTTTACTCTCTCTCAAAGATCATGGGTTTATTTGGATCTTAGCCTTTTTGTGCAAGTCATGTTTTGCTTTCACTTGGGTTCTCATTCTCAGCAGCAAATGGAACCAAGTTGATTACAAAACATTTACCAACATATTTCTTATCTTATGTGGTGCACTATTATTTGTATTCCCTGGTCCAGTTTGTAGCAATTTTTTAATCGATTTATTTATTTTTTTGAATTCACCTATGCTTAAAAAAAAAAAAAAAGAGTCAAGAAACATATAAATCGATTACAAAACTGAACAACATAGTCTCACATTTTTATGGGCTCAACAGACATTTGAAAATATTGTATCTAATTCTATGATTATTTTATGTGTTTGTAAATGAACTGACTATGATATGTAGTAAGAAAAAAATATATGATAATCTAGTGCCTGGTCAATTCACACTGTAGGAAATTCAGCTTTTAGCGGCGTTTAAAAAACGCTGCTGTAGGTGTCAAGAACACCATTAATTATTTTTTCAACGCTTAACACCAAACGCCGAGGATGCGGCCATCGCTATAGCATTGTGGCGCTTTAAAAATGTCGTTAAATGGTTATAGGCGGCATTTTTTAAAACGCCGCTAAATGTAATACATAACGTAAACTGACGTCACGACAATTTTTAGTGACGTTTCAAAAACGTCGTCAAAGCTTTTTTTTGAATTTTAAAAATATAATCGTTGGCTGTATAGTGGCGTTTTCAAAAACGCCATTATATCTTCTTCTTTTATTTTTTTGAAATTGTGCTAATTCTAGGTGGTTGAACAAAAAAAAAAAACCTATAATATAATTGATAAATAGTACTAATATGAAACAATAACTCCCATTCCCATTCAAATGAACATTTGTCAAAAGATAAACTGATTATATGAAAAGCAAATACAACATTAATTTACTTTCCCATTCAATTTAATATACAATCACTGTTCGCCAAAAAATAATAGGAAAAACATCAAGACAAACCTTATGAGTTTTGACTTAATTTAATGTCTTGTCCTTGTTACTAAATTCACTGAACTTAGCTGATATAGCATAGAATCTGTAATCTTCACTAGTCAGGATGCCTGCATCAAAACGTGGAAGCCAAATTAGGTAAAATGCATAAATCAATAATAGTAGAAGTGCTATAGCTATAAAACATAAGATCTACATTACAACTCACCATCTGTTGAAGGTTTTGTACCTGGAAGAACAATTTAAATAAATCAGTCATTTCTGAGGCTTTGAAACTGCAGAAAAAGGTAGAAAAAAATATTTTAACATGCTTCTATCAGATAGTAATAAGTTTATAATAACATGCTTCTCTCTCTCTCTCTCTCTCTCTGTATACTAATGGACAACCCACATATTGAAATGAATTCATATTCCAAGAAAGAATGACAAATCTGATTCTAGTTGAGCAAGAATGTTAAAGCATAAATACTCACTATTCCTTTCATCAATCTGGGCAAGAAAATCTATAATTACCAATGGCACCTCCAGACCATCTCAAGCCAGTCCTTGCAAACCTTGCTAATGCCATATCAGTAAGTATCAGTTCTTTAAGCAAGAGCTGATACTACCCTTGGGACCTCTTTGAAAAAAATCTAACTCAGTTGATTGGACTGAATTTGCACTGAAATGGTTATTATATGATTTGAATGAGCTACACAAATTTGAAAAGTTGCAAAAGAAAGACAACTTTATAAAGAGAGTAGTTTAGGACAGTTCAAGCTCTAGTCCAAAGGACATGGCTTAGATACCAAGTGACTAGTAAACAAAACAAACTTTAGCTTTGCTCATTAGCTGTTGGTAGAAACAATGAGAAACCTCTTTGTAATAGTCTAAAATCTAAAAGGATCTAAAAACCAAAAAGAAACTAGTATTCCTCAATTATCAAACACGTCTGCTAGAAAAACATGTGGAACATGGGCACATGTTTTCCAATTCATGGTCCAAACCATATGATTTGACAGAGCATGTAAACAATTTGAATCCTAATGTTTGAATCCAGAAAATTCATTATTCAGAGACCATCAAGATGTGTTGATGAACCAAAGACATCAATACATCTTTTGTACCAAGTTACCTTTATTCAGGCTTTAGAACAAACAATTAGAGTGTAATTTTCAATCTAACAACCCTGTATAAACAACTATTCCATAAAACAATCATTAACTGTTAATTTATAAGAAAGCTATGAATTTCCAACAGATTGGCACCAAATGTACTTGGATGACATTTTATACAGATCAAGCATCAATGAGCAACAAAACATTGAGTCCATGTGCCAAAGAAAAGAACCTTATTAAAATGTTCATAGCCAGTTTTGAATGTCTAGTAAAAGCGATTCATAAGTTCTATAAATCAACGACAAATTTGAAATGGAGCATTTTTTTAAAAGATTAGGAACAAACTATATATAGAATGGTAAAAAGGAAAATCAAAGTGAAAAAGGGTTATGCCAGATCAAAGAAGCTTGATGAAATATTTCACAATCAAGATTACTATTACATAAACAAAAATTTCACTCTTTGTTTCTTTAGAAAAAATAAAATAAAACTTGAAGAAACAAATCTAGCAACATCATCTATAGCCAAAACCAAGCTTAGACACGCATTATAAATATGAATGAATATTAGTAAAAATTGTTATTGTGTTTTGAATAGGTTCAAACAACAAACATCACATAAATGCATATATATATATATATTTCATCTAGGTTACACAGAAAAAATATAGAAAAATATATTTCAAGCAGAGAAAGGGGTTTCCTATTTCTATATAGCAAACAACAGCAGAAGAGTGAAGAAAATCAAACTTCAGAAACAGAGATGTTGCAGACAACAACTGAACCATGATGCCTCATATATCTATAATTATATATTTTTATTTAATAATCTATATAAGTAGACTAAAACAAATTAGGATTGAAAGTTTGAAAGTAGATATCGTAACTAGTTCAGGGCTTAAATGAACTTATTTCTATAAGAAAAAATAAAAATAAAAAATTAGAGCACCATGTTTAAATTTACACCATATATTCAATTTTTTTTCTTCATATGTTTTTCCTTGGTACATAATATTTATATGTTCTAAAATAATTTAATGTGAAGTCTTTCATTTTTTTGTTTATTTATTTATTTATTGGGTTAAACAGGAAGCTTGACCTCCCTCCAGTGAACATGTTTGTTACAACAGCAGACCGTGTCCTAGAACCCCCTATCCTTACAGTAAATACTGTACTATCTCTGTTAGCAGTTGATTATCCATCTGATAAGTTAGCTTGCTATGTGTCCGATGATGGTGCTTCTCCTCTCACCTTCTATTCTCTTATTGAAGCATCCAAATTTGCTAAGATTTGGGTTCCATTTTGTAAGAATTCAAATCAGAGCCCCATTTAGATACTTCACTATTGAGTCCACATCATCTCGAGATGTTTTGCTGGAGTTCAAACAAGAATGGAAAAGGATGAAGGTAATTCAAGCTGATGTCACTTGTCAAAACAATAATGGAATCTTAATAGGTAAATTTATTATCCAATAAATTATATGAGAATTAATGACATTTTTCATCAAATGCTATAAAAAAACTGTCACTAATTATCAATTTTTAACGATAGTTTGAAAATTGTCAAAAAAAAAATCATTAATTATAAGTTTTAGCGATAGTTAGAAAAAAATTATTACAAAAAATGTTACTAAGTTTCAACTTTCAGTGACAATTTAAAAAATTCATCACAAAAGAGTCACTAATGGTAAGTTTCAGTGACATTTTATAAAAATCGTGACAAAAAAAAATTACTAATTGTCAATTTTTAGCGACATATGTAAAAAATATCACAAAAAATTATTTTTAGCGACAATTTTATTAGGACTTGTTTTCAATAGAATTTGATAGAAATTAAATTTAACTATTAGAACCTATTAGTAGTTTACCCTAATAAACGTAAATGACATTTATATCTTGTCAATTTCTTTTAAGTTCTAATAATTCTCATTACATTTAATCTCTTTTTATCAAAAATTTGTTAGTCATATGAATGAAAAAAAATAATATTCTCATATATTTCACACTGAAATAAATATATTTTGTTTATCATTGTGTTTTAACATCAACTGCATTAGTTTCAATTATTTTAGCTTTATTGAAATAGAGGTTAATGTAATTATGTTAAAAAGGTTAAATTCATTT